TGTTTTCCTTTCATCTCGGATCAGAGCTAGAAACCAAATTAATTCAATTGACATGCATGCTTGGGCACGTACTAGGTTTCCCTAGAACATGTTTGCACCCGCATCTACTTGAACAACTTGATGTAGGTCAGACCTGTTTCAAAGGTGTGGGTCACAGGCATGTGCAGTTTAAATGCGGTGGCTTTGCTGCATGTGCACGCCATGGCTCGGCACATCCTAGGCAGGCTTGCAGGGTGCAACTCGGTCTACATCCATTTGCTCAAGCGCCCAGGAACAAAATACAACCCGACACAGGTGACATGTTTTGCATAAACAAGAAAAGCATTGAGCAAATGGAAGTTTAGTACTAGTACTAGCAAGCGGGAAGCAATCCTGCGTTACGTTGTACGTAGTGCCTTGCAGTGGCTGCATCCTTCATGTCACCGTGCTCCAATCGAGCAAATGGTAGCCCATCGTGTGTTGTGCCAAGAGGGCCATTGGACCTCCATGCATGCATGCATGTTGCAGCAGTGGATGTGTTTTTTTTAATGCATGTGTTTTTCCTGGAGGTGCTGATGTGGGGCCTGTGCAACGCGACATCGTTGAGAAGATCGCTAAAGGAGCAACATGTCCAGCATGCATACATGCTGCATGCGTCAGGTTGCAATATTGTATAATGCATGCATGGCATGCATGCACAAATAAGGCGAGCAGTGCAGAATCTGCAATGAGCTCTGCTAGAGCGTGCTACGAAGAGTCTTGTACAAATTGATGTTGGGTAGCTTGTGGTTGCTTGCAAGTCGCATAAGGAGTCTGGTGGAATTGTCGCTGCATGGACGTCATCGCTGGCCTCATACCGTGCCGGGAACAACAGCTCTCGGAATTTCTATCGAGCCTTGGATCTACCCTTGCCTTCTCGGCTTGCTACTCTGCGCCATGCTTCGCGTGGCACATGTTGCGGGGCTAAGTGAGCATCATGTCACGATCATTATCCTCATATCGCGCACATCATTGATTCACACTGCATGCATGCATGCATGCATGCACATGCAATTTTGATTTGAGGAACCAATCAAAGTGAAAGTCCCTGTCAAGGGCGCCGGTCCCAACGATGATGTGGGCTATGCAGAGGTGCCTGTGCAGTTGCCACATCGCATTCTGGAATTTCTGATTGCTGAATGTGGTTTGCAGATCCCTGACGAGCTTGTGAAGTGCTATTGGCAACACTTGGATGACATGTCGGATGAGGTTGCTGTAAACTCTCGCCAATTTCGGGCTGCTTGCAGTGAACAAGTTTGGCCACTGGGGATTCACGGGGACGAAGCATCGATGCAGCTGAACAATGCCCCGTACGATGCGATGTATGGCATTTGGCTAAACTTGCCCGAAGAGCACACGTTTGTCGAGGTTCCTGTTGTGCTCAGTGGAGAGCACCAAGATGCTGACCGCGGAGGCCACGATGTTCCCCACACCGGAGGCGCCCTCAACCTTGCGACGGAATCTGGGGCAGCAGGAAAACGGTTTATTTGCACTGAGCTGCGAGGTCGACACAAATCCTGGTGGATTGCACGGAATATTTGCTTTAGATGCCAGGCTTGCACAAGCAAGACGCCACTCAACTATTTGCATTACAACGGGGACTGGCTCAACACACTTCGGACCACACGCGATGTGATTATTGATGATTTCCCTTTTCCGTTGTGCCTTTCGGACTGAGTCAGTGGTTGCGTTCAGTGCAAACCAAGGTATACAAAAATCAAATATCTTACCCACCTATCCGAGGCCCTTTGGTTGATCTCTACTTTTTTTGTTGATCTCTACTTTTTGAGTGTGGAGAACATCAAACACTGCACACTGCATATTGTCAACCTGACGCTCCTGGGTGTCTCAAATGGATCAATTTTGTGCCCTGGCATGTGAATTATATTAGACATGTTGATCAATGCTTTTTGCAACATTGCAGGCACCTGATTATGTAATAATGTTGCAATGCCTCAGGAGCATGCTGGTGCAAATGCATGCATTCGGGGCCATTGACTAGGGAGCTGGGCCATCTGGGTACCAGACTGCTTTGGCCCGTGCTTTTGCTGATTTTTCATCTGGAGGAGATCGATGCGGATTCAGTGTTCTCAAAAGAAGTTCAACTACTATGTTCTCTCTAGGGAGGAGTTTGGTGCATTTTTGAATTGCAAAGGCTCCTCAGCCTTCTTCAGCTCCTCCGCCTTCTTCAGCTCCTCAGCCTTCTTCAATTCTTCAGCCTGCTTTATGAGCTCCTCTGCCTCCTCAGTGTTCTTAAGCTCTTCAGCCTTCTTCAGCTCCTCCGCAAGCTCCTCAGCTTTCTTCAGCTCCTCAGCCTTCCTCAGCTCCTCAGCCTTCTTCACCAAGGCCTCCGCTTTCTTCAGCTCCTCAGCGTTCTTCAGCTCTTCAGCCTTCTTCAGCTCCTCAGCCTTCTTCAGCTCCTCAGCCTTCTTCAGCTCCTCAGCCTTCTTCACCAAGGCCTCCGCTTTCTTCAGCTCCTCGGCCTTCTTCAGCTCTTCAGCATTCTTCAGCTCCTCTGCAAGCTGCGCTGCCTTCTTCAGCTCCTCGGCCTTCTTCAATTCTTCAGCCTGCTTCATGAGCTGCTCCGCCTTCGCTAGCTCTTCCGCCTTTTTCTGCTGGTCAGCTGCGATTACCGCCCTGGCCCATCGAAGCTTCTCAGCCGTCTTCAGCTCCTCCGCCGTCTTCAGCTGCTCGCTGAGCAGCTTCTCCGCTGCGGTTAGCTTGCCATCCTCGGCCAACTCCTCTTGGCTCTTCAATCGGTGGGCCTTCTGTAGCTTCACGGCCGTGTTCAGCGCGACCGCTTTCTTCAGCCCCTCATGCTCCTCAGCCTTCTGCGCTTCTTCCTCCTTATTTCTTCGGTTTCAGCCTCCTCTTCTTCGCTTTCCTCACTTTGCGCCTCGACCACGAGATCTCGAGCTTCAGGGTCCTCCGTGATGACGTGCGTGCGAAGTGACGTGTGCTCAACATGCATGCGTGCATGCAAGATCATGCAAGGCAAACTGCAAATTCCAACACTGTGGAGCCTTGACAAGGTTTGCGGATAGATTTGGCGCGCTTCAAAATGCCGTGCTCCTGGTGACATGCCGCATGTATGCATGCACACAAGTGAAACATGTCATATTGCACAACCCCGCACATGCATGCATCCATGCATGCATGATCTAGGCATGCTGTCCTCAAAGGTCATTCTGATCAGCGTCTTCAGCTTGTGCATGTTGCTCTCTTTGGACCTGGCCGCTTGCTTCAATGTGTTCCCGGTGTGCGTGTTGTACGTACACGCTGCATATGCATATCATGCATGCACGTGGGCCTCGCTGATTTTCGCCTGGCGTAGTTCGCAAAGATCTTGCTCGCAAGGGCGCGGTGCAGGTTGCCTTCTGTCTGTGCCCACTCCTGTCCACGCAGCATTAGGTGACAGCCACAGTACGTGCGCGTTGCATGTGTGAACATTTCAATCATCTGATTCTACTTCAACATGCATGCATGCATGCATGTGATGTGTTTCTTTTTGATTGCAATGTTGCTTGGGGCAAATCGTTGATCAAATAAGCAAGCCCACATCTCTCCAGCACATCAGAGGTAACCTTCTTGCTGCTTACCAGCCGCATTTCGACGGCCACTTCCGCCAGAGCTTCCTGCATGCTAGGCCATGCATACATCGACCAACAAAAAACATCAGACATGGAGGCAATTCGATCGATGAGGCCTTTGTTTCCTTCTCCGTTGGCACATCCAGCGCAAAGCTTGGCAGGCACTGCATGAGGAAGCGCGTGTTCACGTTTTTCGCCCCACACGCATGCCGTCACATATCAAGTACCACGCATGCCCGTGCTATCATTTGCATGCAGATTGACTCCCTGCATACTGAATCCAACGTGTGTGGACTGTGAATGTTGGGCATGGGGGAGGGAGGGGGGCACAGAATGCGGGGTGAGCGGCAATGGACTGGTGTGCCATGTCCTCATTGATGCCCCTCTCTGCGTGAACATCCACGAAGGAGAACTCCACCGGCACCTGGCAACATAACATGCGTGTGCGTGCATATAAGCGTGTGACTGCAAACAAATTTATCTGTCACATTGATCGCAGTAAGGGCAAACGCAACCCCGCTGCGCGGATGCAAGTTTGGTCTTAGTCCCAGTCGAGAGATCCTGGGTTCTAGTCTCATTTGGTGCTGGTCCTAGTTGAGAGATCGTTCCTCCCAGTCCTAGATGGGCAAATCATGCACTGGAGAGGCAACCAAAAGGTAGGTCCCTGGGCGCCTCCGAGCCCATAGATTGCCCATGCCCTGCAGGTTGAGGCTGTGGCCAGTCTTGGAAGGCCTGAGGCCTTGAACAAGGCGAATTACTAGGCCCAGCAATTGGTGCCCTTCCTCACCCCTTGTTTGGGGGAGGGCTGAGCTACTAAAATAGACTACAGGAAAAAATCGGATCGGCCCTTATTCTAACCTCTCTGCAGGATCTAGATGAAGCTTCAACCCGTGGCATGCAACTTGGTCTTCGCGTGAGCTTTGGCTCGCAGGGGTTGGGAGACCTGACCCATGGATTGGACTACGCACAGAAACGGCCCGCGGCTGGGTCTTTTTGGGGCCGGCCAATGGATTTGCACGCAGTGAGGGGCGAGTTGGGGCAAAGAGAGCCAATTGTACGGCAGGTTTGGGATGAAGATTTGAAGGAAAGCTGTTGCACCGTAACTACACAGCAGAATCTCGGTCATCCACACAGCTGCGTTCGCTCACACTGCCAAAAGCGCAAGACTCCTCTTCCCGTGTGCGGAGGGCAAAGGAGTTAGCAGTTTGTGAGATTCGCCCTGAAATTCCAGCATGTCAACTTGGAACGACCATCCCTTTTGCCCCACTCAACCTTCAGGTTTTTTTTCTCCCACCTTTCAAAGCTCTTTTTTTGCTTGGCTCTCCCCCCTCCCCTCCCCTCCCCTCCCCTCCCCTCCGCTCCCTTGCCGCCCCCCCCCGGGCACTCGAAGCGATGGCGCCACAGCGGCTCCCGGTGGCCCTGCCCTCCACGGTGGAGCAAGCGCTGCGCGCGGAGCTCGAGGGCAGGCGCCCGAGCGACCGACGACGCCGACCCATCCGCTGCGTTGTCGCTGAGCTGGTTGGGTGGTCGGGTGTTTTTCCCGTGGTGGGTGCCGGCCTGGATCCTCAACTACACAAGCGGAACTTTGGAGTGGTGAAGAACCCCGTGTTTAAGGGGCAGTTTAATTTTGCGGCTGGCTGGATGTGCAAACCAAAGGGTGGAGCTGGGAGTTATTTCTAGGTCTCAAGGACGCCCGGAAGGGACCAGCACGACACTGGTGTGAGGGAATGATTGTGTTTTGGAGAGCGACATCGTATAGGGATTTCTCGCCTTAGGTTGGTCCGTCTATTCTGACACAGAACTGGGAGTGGGGGGAGCCTCCAAGGGATTTGCGCGGGAAGTGGCGGAGCCAGGCGGCTTTTTGGACAGCAATGATGCTGCCTCATTTTGTGTGGGATGTTGGCGTAGCAGGGAAGGTTTCCGTTGGTTGCCCTTTTCAGAGGAGCAAATGTTCTTGCGCCGATCGAACTTTTCGGAGCGAAGCGAATTGAAACGGCGCATCCCGTCAGCACAGTTGATGTCGCCGGTCTCATGCCATCTCATGGAGCCACACAATCCATGTAGGTCATGGTATACTTCCATGTCACCCATTTGGAGGGTGATCTCATGCCCACAGACACAGAATTCATGTATGGCATGTATGTATACTGGAGGGCGTGATGGACATGGGGTCCCTGCCAGGTCAGACTCGCGCGCGGAGTTGCGGCAAGTGCCCGCATGGGCGAGGCGTTTCGGGGTTCGCGCGGGGGGGGGGACCACATCCCGAGGGGACCAAAACAAACCCCAGTAAACCTCGGCGATGTGCCATCGGAAGACCCCGAGTTGGCAGAGATGGTTTGAGATGGTCCACCATCAACCGCGGCCTGAATCTTGTTGGGGAGGGAGCTGAAGCGGGAAACCCAGGCAACCTTTCACATTCCTCCTGAACAAAACGGCCGTCCACACAAGGAGTCGTTGCGGGCAAAAGCCAGATTTGGGTGTGTGGCAAAATAAGGAACCCTCCCCCCCAAATCCCCAAATGGTGCTGTTCAAATGTCCCCTTTGGTGTCCCTTGAAAGACAACTCCAACTTCGAGGACCGATGCTGAATCACATCCACATATATATATATATATAATATGGTTGGTGAGTGGCCATATCCTGCTCGTAACTAGGTCCCCCAGTAGTGCCCTATTTACCCTTTTTTGGTTGGGAGGGTTCCCCTACTAAAATAGACTACAGAAAAGAGAGTACCCTTGTTCTAACCTCTCCACTGGAGGACCTAGGTAAACACACTCACACAAATGATTTGTTGGGGCCGGGGGTGTTGTGGGGATGTCGTCGAGCGGGGAGCGCAGGCTGCAACGCATCATGGTGAGCTGGATGACCGACTCAGTGCTGGGCCTGCTGGTAGTGCCCTGCCGAATAGCCGAAGGGTGGTGGGGCCACTTTGTGCGTTCATCATATGGATTCAGTTGGGGGTGGCCTCTCGTCACGTTTTCTGTGTGCGCCTGGTTCGGTGTCACGTGTTTTGCTGTGTGCTGTTTGTTTGTTGTTTCTGCTTGGGTTGTGTGTGTGTGTTCTTTGTTTGTTGGTTGGGAGATGGTTTGTTCAAAAAGCCAGTATGCTTCCGATCACGAGCAAACAAGGAAAGGAGCGTGTTTCTCTTTGGCCTTCACCTGAGTGGTTCTTCTGCCAGAACCAATGACAAGAATGCATTCAATACTGACAGACGTTTAGGCCAATGTGGGGGATCTAGAGGTGGCTGGAACAAAACTGATGGTGTGCCCGGTGCCCGTTCTTCAGAAAATAGCCTTTGGGCCGGTTTCCCAAACAAAAAACCTCCACAAAGAGCGGGTGACCTTCTTGAGTCAAAGTCAGATTGAATAGAGTTTCATTTGTGTTGGTTTGGTGTGGCCGCTTGTTTTCTGCCTGGAGTTTCTCAACGAAAGCCGTGTCGGAAAGGCGCTTCCAAAGTAAGCAAACTCGTATCATCAAATGTCACCCAGTCACTTTCCGAAAGCCTTGGGCCAAGCATGGATCGCTTCGAGCTGCGAAGTGTTGCTTTGCCCTGGCTATCCAAGCCATCAGCAATGCTAGAAGCTTAACGGAGTCCGCATATGCACAATGCTTGTTGCAGATGTTTTGTTGTTGCTTTCTATAAAAGGGCGCGCGCGCACACACACACACAAAAAAAAAGTCGAACTGTTTTTTTCTTCCAACAACGGGAGGGCGCAACCCGATTCAACCGTCACATCTCCTTCCGGGCCCCTTGGTTTCCCTTTCAGCACCAACGTCCGCATTGGTCCAATCATCACAAGGCACATGCACTCGCCAAGTAGCAACCTTACAAGGGTTGCTCCGAGCCGTTGCCCAAAGATGGTCAAGTCGGTCTTGTCGAGTTGGCACCCCGTGTTTTTTGGTTTTAAAGGGAACCCGGAAGGGGAAACTGTGGTCCCCTCAAAAAAGAAGCGCCAAAATTGGCCATCGGCTTCCTTTCTCCGGGGGAAATGACCTGGATTCTTGTGGGTTGCCCTTACCCAGAAGCACTGTTCGCTGACTTTGACGTTCAAACAAAGTGCAAGCAAGGTGCAAGTGGGTGGTTGACTGCATGTTTTTGTTCCCCCTGAAGTAGGTTTACCACCCCGGCCGCAAAAAAACCACAGGCTCCCCCTCGCGCAAAAAACTCCTGGGCCCGGAGGCGCGGCTGGGGGTGGCGACGATGAAGGCGGTGCCTTTCGTGTCGCTGCTGGTGGTGCTGCGCCGCATGTGGCGCCTCAATCGGATCATGATGCGCAGCAGGAGGCCGGGAGGTCGGTGACTATGGCTTGGCCAGGGAAAAGTCTGGGCTCAGCAGGAGGCGGCTTTTGGGGCCAGGGGAAAGTCTGGGCTCAGCATGGGAGGGTCCGGATTGTTGGTGATTGGTTTGATGTGTGATCTGTTTGATTGCTTTACCTGGGAAGTCCGGGAAAAGTCTGGATTTAGCATTGGAGGGTCCGGATGGTTGTGATTGGTTTGATGTGTCTGGCCTGGTTGAGGTTGCTTTAACTGGGGGTCTCCTGCAATTGGGGTAGACAAAGCACATGGAACCGAGTCAGAAAATAACATTTTCTATGTGCCCTTTTTGGTGGGCCACGGGGGGCAGCAAACCCTGGCAAACCTGAGAGGGGATCGGCGACTTGTTGCTTTCTGACCTCGTTAGGCCAAGTCCTCTTCCGCCGGAAGTCGCTCCGGGTAAGTGCGTGAACCTCCTGGCTTTCGCACCAGCTTGAAACATAGGCAAGCGGGTGAGGGTCGTCAATATAGAGGTCAGAACTATGCACACCATTATTTGATTTCGCGCATGACTGACTTTGCTCTTGAAGTCCCCACAATCCCAAGTTTCAACTACTAACGGGAGCCCCGCATGAATCAACCCCTGGTTGATCAATAGGAGGGTGCCCCCTTTTAGTGGACTTCCTTCCCTTTTTCGGGCGACACCGCCATAATACGGGAATGAATTGGCCGGGTTTCTTGATTTTGGGCTTCCCATGATCTTCTTCCAAGCTGGGTATGGCACAAAAATAGGGGTCCAAAATGGAATCCTGGCAAATGGACAGGTAGACTAAAACCTGCGTAGCCCCATCTGTTTAATTGTGAGCCACACCCAGATGGCTTTCAACTTGGCCCAGATCCCACTTAGCTCCCAACGCAAAGCAGAAAAACCGCGGGACCGGTCTCCCGTGGATCGCCAAAACCGCGGGACTCCGCTCGTCGGCTCTCGGCGCGCCTCTCGGCGCGGGACCTCGGGAGGTCGAAGACGTGGATCCTGATGCGCTCGGCCTTTGAGATGTGGACCTTGGTGGAGCTGATCTTTTACATCTACTTCAGGCGAGGTCTGCCAGCAATTGGTGCCCGAGAGGTCACCCAATTGGCAAGGCCCCACCTCTCACCCGTTTCTTTTTTTGGTTGGGAGATTGGGAAAGCCCCCACTAAAATAGACTAGAGGAAAAAGTGGGTACCAACTTATTCTAACCTCTTTTCTGGAGGACGTAGCAGGCGCATCCGATGAATGATCCTCCAGGGATTTGGTTTGGAGGGTGATTTGCTTGAAAGGAAGTTCAAGAGGAAACCTCCGTATACGCAACCGATGACTGATCGTCCACTGTTGATTTGCAGGGATTTGGTTGGGTTTGATCGCCACCGATCATGAATCGTGCACTTTTGATTGATTGAGTGGGGGGGATTTCGGGGGATTTCGGGCTGATTTGTATTTGGGGCTGCGGGTGCCCATTTGACAGGTTGCAAGGGAAATCAAAGGACAACCACCATGTGTTTGCCCCCCCCCTTTTTTGACAAGGAGCGCCACATCAAATTTTGACCCGTATACAGTTGGTGAAAGTAGATTGCGAATTCGATCCCCAGTTTGGTTTGGCGGTCCCCTTTTCTCGACCACATAGCGGGAATAGTGCCATCTACTTTCACCCCTGTAAATATTGATACAAACAACTCTTCATGGATCCATCATTCACGTGTCACAATGCCTAGGTCCCCCAGTAGTGCCCTTTTACCCTTTTTTGGGGGAGGGCTCCCCTACTAAAATAGACTACAGGAAAAAGTTGGTACCCTTATTCTAACCTCTCTACTGGAGGACCCGGTTGCTCATGCTGATCCTTGGATTTCTTTGTTGGTAGGTGCACCTTCAGCAAGTAGAGGTGATCATTGGCTAGGAGTATGACAACAAAAGCTCGATGTAAACGAGAATGGGGGGACAGACGATTGGCCGAACTTGTGGCGAGCCTCAGCGATTCGATGATTCGGTTTCACCCATGAGAAGACCCCAAGTAACCGAGTGATCCAAATATTATTTCAGGTTTTGCAGATGAGCAACAAACCAATGGCCCGGTGAGGTCCGCCATTTTTTTCTGTCTGTTTCGGAACAGCTTCCTGTCAATCAGCCAACGGACAGTGACCCCCTGTTGGTTCTGATGGTTGCCTGGCAATGTTCCGGAATGCCGGAATGTCCAGTCTGTGACAGTTTATGGTCCGTGTGGATGGGACGTGAAGCGCACTAAATCTCCCGCGCTAACCAGGAGCTTCACCAAATGTCCCATGTCCTCTTGGGAACAAGTAATCTTGGCTGTGCCTGTGGGGGTGTCATTGTTTTCGAGTCGCCGTTTGGGTTTGATTCAGCGCCAAATCGCATGACATTCCCAGAAGCTTCTGGGCCACAGTCATTTGACTCCCCTTTGCTCAACCTAGTGCTGGTCCTTTTAGGGACTTCACATCATGGCAAGGATTCTTTGACTCCCCTCTGGTTGGCAGGTCTGGTGGATCCTGCCTTGAAGCAGAACATGACCCACATTTTTGGGCAACCTTCGGGCGGCCACTCAGAAGGAATGCTTTGAAGGGAATCCAAACAAGACACCATTCGCAGGTCCCTTGCCAAGTGAACATCATGTTGAAACCAACCAACTTTTAAAAGCCGCTGAGTTCCCCGTATGTTTGGGGCGACGTGCACATGCGTGGAGCTTCCCGCCCCCATTTTACGACTGGAACGCTGCCAAACAAACAAAACTGCAAACAAACAAACAAACAAACAAACAAACAAGCAAGCAAGCAAGCAAGCAAGCAAGCAAGCAGCCATAAGAGAAACCAAACAACCAACCCTTGTGTCCATTTTGGTGCTTCCTCCCTAAAACCCCCCTTCAAAACACCCCGGAAAAAAGAAAAAAAGGCAAAACAAGAACAGCAACTCATCGTGCCCTGCCGTGCCAAGCTCGCCGGGGCCGTCGGAGCTTCAGCCGAGGTGCAAGAAGTGGAGCCTCGAGAAGCGGCGCGCCTACGAGCCACGGGTCCTGTGGAAGGCCCCCAACGAGAGGCGGCGCGCGAGTCGTCGCGAGCCGTCGCCTCTCGTCGTACGCGGAGAGAGTCGGGTCGAAAGGTGGGTCCGGTGGGTTTGGGTTCCGTTGAAACAGGTCAGGTGGGACTTCCAGGGTGTTTCAAGTTTCCCAGTTTGTTTCCGGAATTTTTCTGTTGGTGTCTGTTTTGAGTTGACGTTGACCGGCAGGTTTGCCGGACCGATAAAATACAACTTTTCAAACGGGAAATCCAACCCCGGGAAAGTAGCTGCCACAAGCTATATGGGCTCTAGAAAATCAGCCAATAGGCAACTAGCAGCTAACAACAGCTATGAATTAGTGTCAGATGCTAGAGATCGGGGGAGGGCGTCCAAGGGAGGCGTTGTAGCCTTTTAGTGTTTAGTGGTAGTTTCCATTTAACCCAACAAGAGTTAAACTTCTCAGTCGCTGGTTTCTGAGACCGGTGAAACGCGTACTGGGCAAACGGGCGCTGCCCGCAAAACGGGAAACCGCCTCGCGCCTCATGCGAATCGTGGAGGCAGCGGCTGCTCACGAACTTTCTCACCACCATCGCCGGCGCCTCAGGATCCCGACGCGGGGATCTTTTGTGCCTGAGAGGTCGGCCAGTTGGGTGCGCATTTTGTTTTTTGGGGAACCCCTGTTTTCTAGACAGTCGATCTCGGGTGACGAGCCGAACCCATAGAATTTGAGGGGTTCTCAATACTCTTGGTATCTGGTAATTTCCCTTTGAACTATTCAGAGGTTAAGTCAGTAGGTTTCAGGATATTCTCAGTTGTTCAGTGGCCCCCTGTTTACCTTCTTTTTTGGTGGCTGCCCCACTAAAATGGTCTTCCCAATCAAGGGTTCCCTGTTTTCCAGGGTCACTGGACAACTGAGTATTACTTCAATGGTCCAGTCTCCGGATCTGGGCCAAGGGAGCCCTCGGGAGTGACACGCGCCCATGGGAGACGCCTTTCTTCGGGGGAATTTCCTTGAGCTTGGTGTGAGAATTATGCAGGGCTCTTTAAAATATATCCATTTTGCAACCAGTTGAAACATGGCTTTTTCAACACCAAAATAAAGGGAAACCGTACCATTTACAAGTTGCAATGTTCAGGTGTATACTGCAAGGATCCCTGTTATCGTCATTGGCCCAGACTCACCAGAAGATTTTACGTACCTCACCATTTGTACATATTGATAATATGTATACACATACTTCACCCACCTCACCCAAACCGCTTCGCCCCATGTAGATACCGCACCCAACCCGAACCTGGGGGGCACACTCTGATTCATGAGCATGTGTATCCACTTAGGAGCATCCATTTGGTCTCAAAGCAAACTCAGCTCGCGCTTCCGGGGAAGGAACGAGCGATTTCACTCGTGCAGCTTCCTTAAAGCAGTTGTGGCTTGGATTTGGGAGATCAAGAATGCAATCAGATTGAAAGTTGAAAGTTAGGTGCTGTTGGTTGGTGAGTTGTGGCATTTGTCACAGAATGAAAAGTACGCGCTGGAACTGCGTCATTGTTAGCTATAACGGTCTTGAGTGACCCACTGTATATGACCTCACCCGCCGGAGATTTGCGAGCTTCCTAGGGGTGAAGCGCACCTGAGCAGTTTTCTTGCAAAGCTTGGTGAGTGCTCATTGGAGAACATTGGACTTACCAACTCCAGTCCCAGTGATTCCAAGTCCACTTGGCACTGGTTTCATCATGTCACAGATGAAGGTCCAACCTTGCCTTCGGAAGGAAGAACCTTCTGTTGTGTTTTTGGGTTTAGTGGAGTAGATGATGAACTTGAGAAGTACTTCTCAAGACAACTGATTTTGACCAACTCCCTGTCAGACTAGTTGCTCGCTGCGAGAAGATGTTCAAGTAGACCATCAACACATCTGAGAGTGATCTTTTGATGCGTTGGTGCTTCAACAGCTGGATGTTGCTGAGATTAAGCTTGAAGTTGAGAAGACGATCTCAAGCTGTTGCCAAGAACTTTTCAGCAGCATTAGGACTGCCCTTAATGTTCTTGTGGTAGGCTCCGTGGAAGTCTCTTCAGAAGCAAAACGTCAAAAGCAGCCAACAAGACCCAGAAGAAGATTGAGAGTTGAAGTAGACTCTGCTTTGTTGCCTTTTGCTTGGATGTTAGGACTTTAACTTTTTGCCAACTCATGGGTTTTCCATTACACCACCAAAAGTTTAACGGGGAGCAGAAAGCAACCGAATCTGAGTACCCCTCCTTTTCGGGGTCGACGCTCTCCGGCGAGACCAAGACCCCAAGATCTCAGGAGAGGATCCACGCGGGCCAGGGGTCCCTGCCGTTCCGGGTCGGGACCTTGGAGTGCGAAACGGGGTTGGGGGACTCATGTGTTGTCTTTTTCTACAATATATATATATATATATTGTTTTGTATCGAGGGGAAGCCCCCGGAAAAGGGAAAAGCAAAACATGTATTTAGACATATTTGATTTATTTCATTTGATACACTATTTATTTATTTACTTAGTGGTAGTTTTTTACAGTTTTACAAATGCTTATTTCTTTATATTTTGTTTTATTAATGAGGGGCACCCCGAAAAAGAAACCTGGGCCATATATACCCCGGCACAAGAATAGAAAACAATCAAACACCAGGGCCATTCATTTCACGTTGGTTACCAAAACTTGGAGTTGTCCAAACTAGGAAAACAGATTTGGTTTCCAAGTGTGGGCTCCATTTGAAGCAACCCCTACCAAAGGGTATCCAAGAAAGGATATATAAATCAACAGGGCCTTTCCTGGTTAGTGTCCCCTTGTTCGTTTTGCATGTGGAAGCAACCGAGGAGATTCCGGTGGAAGAAGGACACATGGCGTGTTTGATCACTCTTTGGGTGAGAGATGTCGGAAAGCTCGATGAGGCGAGGTACAGGTTTCTATGACCTGGCATCGTTTGGAAGACATATTGGTTAGGCTCAGGGTTGCGGGATCAAGGGGAGAAACTCCCCACTTCTGTGATACAAGGGAATCCCTCTGTTGTATCAGAAGTGTTTTTTTCCCCACAGCCCTGGTTAGGCTGAACTGTTCGAAGGCATCCCATCCAGCCCGATGGGGGTAGTGGCGGAGCGGCAAGGAGTCCTTTTGAGTCTCTACCATGTGTGTTGCGCAGACTTCTTGATGTGCCGGTCAGAGTGTTTGATGGTTTCACACAGGGAGCGGCTTGGGTTGCAGTGGATCCCAGTTACCAGTGCAGTAGGCAACCTGCCACTTTCCTGTCAGGTTTTACAGAGTGACTGCTTTATTACTAGGTGACCCAGCTGTTCTTCAGCTACATGGAATCACTCGGAAATCTTTCGATTACTCAGCATCCCGGGCTCACTTGAAGCGAATCGAGCTTTCAAGCTTTGAGTTGGACTGTTGGGGCCTCTGTTTTGACCACAATGCAAAATCACCAGGTTTGAATGATCCCATTTATTAGCAACTCTGACCATCATCTTTGAAGATGCGGAATGCCGCTGGCACATGGTTTATTAATTTGGGTCCTGCGGGGGGTCGGTCTGGCAGATTTCCTAGTTTTGTCAATTAACTGCAATTTAGAATGGGGCCCTTCTTAATGGCCCAGAATTTATTGTTCCAGACCCCATTATAAAACTTGAGTAACATTAGTCAGGACGGGACGCCCTGGTCCTAAGGTTCCAAGAGGGGATTAACATGGAGCCCAGATGAAATTATTTTTTGGGAAATGGACCTTTAGGGTTCCTTCTGTTCATTTCAAGGGGAGTATTCAACATGCTTTGTTCGGGAAATGGGTGCTCAACCCCTCCTGAGCCTTCAGGAGAAGGCCAAACGGCGAGAGGCCAAGGCCCTCGGGCGATCTCGGAGTGCGGAGATCGGAGTTGGCTGTCTCCGAATGAACAAACTAGGTCCCCCAGCTAGGTGCCCTTTCTCACCCCTTTTTTGGTTGGGAGGGAGACCCCCTACTAAAACAGAAAATAGACTACAGAAAAAGTTAGAATCCTTATTCTAACCTCTCTACTGGAGGACCTGGCCTTGATTCCAGCAATAAGAGAGGTACCCTATGGATCAGCCGAATAAGAGAGGTATCCATTGAATAACCAATGAGAGGTACCCTATGGACCTTTGAATCAGACAAAAAGTATGAGAGGTCCGTACCCTATGGATCAACCGCTCAACATGAGTGGTACCCTATGCATCAACATGCATCTTGAGGCATATTCAGCGGAGATATGGGGGAGACCAATGTGGCTTTTGTCGGGTACCCTATGAATCAACCAGGAGAATATCAGTACCAATCCGACTCTCCAAGTTTGTCGCACGGGAGGCTGGCCGAAGATACCCTTTGGGTTGGTACAGCCACCCGTGTTGGGGTCCAAGTCCGCATTTTGACACAAAACTCAGTCCACATTAATCAAATTGAGTGAAAACAGGTCATCAACCACTTCAACTGAGATACGGCTTGCCACAATGAGACATATCCCCCTGAGCCAATAATCCACCAGAAAAGGGGACATGCCCCCGATTGTCCTTGGGCGGTTTCCGTTTTGAATTCTCCTTTTGAACAAACGCAGAGAGGCTCCGCCTCAACCAAAAACACACGGGCAGAGCGCTTTTGGTAGGCCAGGAGACCGTCTCCTGGGGGAACCCCGAAACCAACGAGTTGTTTTATCATGTTTTCCTGTCAAGCAACGGCAAAAAGTGCACCTGCAAAAAGTCAGGGCGATATTTCTTTGGCTTGTCTTGATGGCAAAGTATGGTTGGTTGTTTCAATCGGAAGCCAGAACAAAGTATTGCGTCTTGGGCAAACCACATCTAGGTCCCCCAGTAGTGCCCTTTGACCCTTTTTTGGTCGAGGGCTCCCCTAGTAAAATCGACTGAAAAACGTTGGTACCGACTTCTAGCCTCTCTACTGGAGGACCCGGTTGCTCATGCTGATCCTTGGATCTCTTTGTTGGTAGGTGCACCTGCAAGTCGAGGTGATCATTGGCTAGGAGTATGACAACTGATCATTGCCCCCCGCGGTTCTTCGGCAGCCGAATCGGTTGCCCCCCGGCGCGTGCCTGGGCGCCAGGGCGCCGGCATCTTCCAGGCCTTGCGGCCGCCACCCCGGCAGGAGCCTTCGGTGTCGATGGAGATGCGAAATGAAGCCAAAGCTTCCAAAGGCCCGGGTGTTGCCATGCAGAAAAAGCCTACGTTCCCCCTTTTGTTGGTTAAGATGGGGTTGTCGATGGAGATGCGAAATGGACATGTCGGTCAATGCCAAACGATAAAAAAAAAAACGGGTTTTGCCAGGGTTGGTGGAACACAAAAGCCTGCTTTACCTCTTTTAGGCGTCGAGTCCATGCAAAATGGACATGTCGGCCAAACCTTCCAAAGACCCAGTTTGGCCATGGGGAAAACCCTACTTTACCCCATTTAGGTGTCCTTTTGTGGGTGAAATGGGGTTGTGGACTTGGCAATCCAGAACTCAGTTGCCCGAAGCGGATTGAGCTTTTGGCCTTTTGATAGGGTTTTCCCTTTTTGGTCCTGTTTTTTGTGGCCTGAAAAGGTCATATTTCCACATCACATCAAATCAAACAACACCCCGTGCCGTATCCCAAGGTAAGGGATCAAGGGTTGCCTTTGAACAGCCCAGATTTGAGTTGGCAAGCTTTGCAACCACCAAAAACAGGCAAACCCACCCAGTGTTTAGGGTAGCTGGAGGAGCCATTGGGTTGTGGAATCTATGTCTAGAAAAAAATGCTAGCAAGTGCAATGAGTGGATCACAGGCCGTGGTGCTCTGGGCCCAGCGATGTTTCAGTAATGACCTCGGAATCCGGAGGACCCTTTTGCCAGGGAACCAGCTCTGATTAGTATGGTCCTTCGGATTAATCCGCAGTTCTGCTAACATGACCGGAATGCGCAAGGCCCGAATTCTGTTGATGGCTGGGGAGGGGGGGGGGGCGATCCAAGAATTCCTGAGACACGTGGCTCCATGAATTTTCATGAAAAACACCCCCTAAGTGGTTGGTGGACATAAATCCCCACCTAAAGGGTCCGTAGGTCAAATTCATAGCCATGTGGTTCCCTCTGTTCGCTATCCTGTTAGCTTATGTCTTCCTGGAAAACCCCGAAAGGCCACTTGGTTCTATTTGTGTTTTCCGGTCGAAAGGCGGATTTGGCCTTTTTTTTTTACCCGCAAGGTTGTTTGTTTCGGTCATTTGCCTCATTTGCCCCGTGTTTGGCCTGTAAGGTTTTCCTTTTTCCCGGTGGCTCTCCGCCGCGCAAACTGTGCCAGGAGGCCCGGGAAAAGCTGATCAGCGCCCCCTCAGCACCTTGGAGCTTCGGGACATGGAGTCGAGTCGCTGCGAAGGGAGAGACAAACTCGGGGAGCGAAGACCATGCAGGTTCTCTCCCGTTTTTTTTTTTTGTTTTGATTGGTTTGCGAGTTATGGCAATTTATGCAGATCCTTACCCTCTTTCCAAGAACCGTGGAAGAGGACAGCAGCCGAGTAGTCTGTTTACACCGGGTTCCACAGGGAGAGTAGGCTCGCTGAATGGGAGGGTTGCAGGGGTTTTCAACAAGTAGTTGCTTTTTGCACCCCCGCTCGGGAGGGTGGAGGGAGCGTCTTAGTTTCCCGAGGGAGTCAAGCTTGAGCCAACGGTGCCCTTTCCGGATGTCACAAAAGGGTCCTAAGGGAGGTGCAATGCTTTGTCTGTGCAATCTGTTCAGCGTGTGTGTGTGTAAATGGGGAACCCCCAAACTGAAGTGATTCCCTTTGAATTTGCCAAAAGAGAGTAAGTACCCTCACAAAACCCCAAGCACCCAAATCTCCCACGTACTTTGTGACAAAAATGAAGCTCTTCTCAAGAAAACAGCTTGCCATTTCTCCAAATCTTCTAGTGGAGTTGCTTACAGCTTTACGTCTGTAGCTTTGTAGTCGCTCCTGTCCGTTTTTGCTGAGTGTTTGCTCCCTGTTTGCGGTAAGTAGGAACCCACCAGTCCAACTGATCCCAATTGCCATGCTCCTTGCAGCTTCTCCAGAATGCAACTTCAGGTAGTGAGAAACAGAAGCCAACCCGAAAGTGGACATGTCCAGCTTCCCTTTAGTTGGTTTGGGGGCTTTCCGGGGTGGTTTCCCATTTGCCCTCAAGTCCCATTTCAAATCCCGATCCAAACCACCAATTGCGGACTTGATTGCATGGCCAGACCCTAGGTCTCCCAGTAGCGCCCTTTCTCGCCCCTTTTTTGGTTGGGAGGGTTCCCCTACTAAAATAGACCACAGAAAAAGTTGGCACCCTTATTCTAGGCTCTCTCCAGTTCCAGTGAGGTGGAAAACTTCCTGCGGCTCTCGGACGACCACGAACCCGGCTTCTGGTATGAGCCCAAAGCGTGCTCAAAGGCGCCGTTTGCGACGTGCGCGGGGGCGTTTCCACAGGTCTGTAAAGACATTGGGATCCCCGGTTGATTTTGATCGGGGGTGTCCAAATCACTGTTTTTAAAGATCATGGGAAAAGCCGGATCTAAGTAGAACCCCTGGCTGATGAATTCATAGGTGTCCAATGCCGTTTAGTGGTTGGATTCAGACAACTTTTGGAGCTGCCTACTCCTGTACGGGTGCTTCTTAGATCCGGGGCCGCGCGGGGGAAAGCGAACCAAACTACCGGGGCAAACTATACTCAGTTGTTCAGTGGCCCCCTTTTCCCATTTTTTTTTGGGTGGCTGCCCCACTAAAATGGTCTTCCCAAAAAAGGGCTCCCTTTTTTTCCAGGGTCACTGGACAACTGAGTATAAGAGCTCGCCGATCGGGGTGAAAATGAGCTCACCTGCGATGGATGGTGCTTGCTAGGGCTTCTCATGTTGTCCACTTTGGGATGGTAGTAGTTTGCCCAGAATTACCTGATGAGATTGGGCAAATGTAGAATGCTACTAATCAGTTGGTTCTTTTCTATTCCGGCTCCGGCCGTCGGCTTCCGGTGTTGCAGAGCTTTTTTCGTGCATGCGAGAAGTGTTTGGGGCCTCAAGTGTATCTCATCGGCAGAACTGGTTGGAAGGAAGGACGCTTGTAGCAGCAAGAAGGGAAGACTTTTGTCGTCCAAAACGCTGTTATGTTTCAGGGCAGGCTACATATGAAACAGAGTCCGAAAATCTGGTTTGTGTTTTTCCCAGGCCCGTGACGACCTAACAGCGAGTCACCAGCAGGGGATGAGCTTGCAATCTGGCTTCGATTTTAGTGATTGAGGCCCCGACTGGGTCTATCTCTCTTTGAGGATACCCTTTTTGAATGGTTTAAACCAAAAGGAAACGAAGGCCGTTTTGGGAGAATCCGATTCCTGAAAACGAGCAACCCAACAACTGTTTCTGATTCATATCACCAGGACATTGAAGAAACCGGTGAGGAAACATGGGTGACATTTACACGTTTGATTTGAACTTCCTATCCATGACTGTAACTCATGACTCGCTGGTTCATCCCTTGTTCTTGTACGCAAAGTTGGAGAGCCCATGGTCACCCGCTGTGCCCATCTACAGGGCACAGCATGTGGCTGCCTGACCCAAGGCAAACGCTGGTCAGTAGAACTGGGGTCATGTTGACTGTAGTGGTTTGCGCCCTGTTTGTGGGTCGTTGATTTGGCACGCCCCGTTTCTTTTTACGGAGTTGGTCCCTTGAGGTTCTGCTGTTGCTGGTGTTTCCAAAGCAGTCTGCACCTTTTAGAGACTAGTTGTGGAGCAGAGTCGGCAAAAGCTTATTGTTTGTGACCCCTTTTTTGGTGCCAAAGGGGCAACCTTGCAGGCCAAAGTCATGTTTTGCTCGTGGGCCAAAGAGGAAGCCTTTGGGATACCAATGGAATATTTCTTGGGAAAACCCACTGAGTTTCCGAAACGCGCGCTCGGTTCGCTCGTGCGCAGGGCATGGCAAAGCCCATGCGCCCCGCCCCCTCCGTGGAGAATTTGCTGCGGAGTTGGGAGGCGGATTGGGGAACGGAAAGCGGAGACGAAAACGGATGTTTTTTTTTTGTGTGTGTGTGCTCTGTCAAGTCGTTTCGTTGTTGTCGATTTGGGGTTTTGTTTGGTGCTTGCTTTCTGTTGTTTTGCTGTGTTGGCCTTTTTTGTTTGTTGATAGTTGCCTGTTTGGTTGTTTGTTTCGGGTGGGCGTTAGAAGGGGTGTTTTCTTTGGCCTCGAGCTTCTACAAGAAGGGGCACCCCGTCGCGTCGAAGTAGTCAAGTAGTCGAACTTCTTGTTCTGTTGGTTTTGTTTTTTTTCCACGTCGCATTTTCGTAGTTAACAGCCTATAAGACTTCTAACGGCGAGCGACCGGGAGCAACACAAATGTAGAAGATGTTGTAAATTCCTTAGCTCCTTTCTTCGCCAGGCTGAGTGGTTTAGCCGCACCGTCCATCCAACATCGCTGAGGCCTCGTGGTTTAGCCGACCAGCTCAGCTGCCGTGGCGAAGCCTGTAGGACTTGCGGAAGCCAACTGTAAGAATCCTTGGACATCATTTGATCGCTCCAGTTGTGGTTTCTACTTGGCAATGGGCGGATGTGGTTTCTATGGACATGGATCTCTTTTGTGAGAGTGCCACCCTGATTGCTCCAGTGGATTTGGGTTTCTATGGGACATGGATCCCTTTTGGGCATTGCCTTAAATCCAATTTGTGTGTGTGTGTGCGCGCGTCTTTGTGTGTGTGTCTTTCGAGTTGTTTAAAACGGAGAGATTGACGAGGATATGTCCCAGTCAGTTCCATGCCACGAGCGGCTTCTGCCAGGTCTCGGAAGAGGTTAGTCCCAGGACGCCCGCAGACGTCGACGCTCGGATGAGACTGAAGGTTGAGTCAGTTATCAGAAGGGTGCTCTGCCTTTCTTGGACCTCAAAGTGACAGCACCAGCAAATGGTACCTTTGGAGGGCAAATCCAATGACCCCCATCCTTTGGTGTTTGTGTTTTGCTCCCATTTTGACCCCTGCATCGCTACAAAACCTCTACTTGACCTTGTTGACCTTAGAGTGCATCGTTGGATCCTCTGAGCCACATGCCAAAGGAAATCGACCAGATCCGGTGTGGTCAATGTTTCCAGGTCCTTCGGGCAAGCGTTGGCCTGGAGGCTATAGGTGCTTGCTGCCATTCTTCTTGGCTGAGCTTCTTCCATGTGTGTTTTCGTTTCTTATTATTTTTTCTCGGATTTCGCACATGGTGCATTTGACGTAGTCTAATGCCGATGGTTTGTTGCTTTTCAGCACATTAGACTATATCGCGTTAACTAACTTCTTATAGGTGATCTTGTGCTATGTTCAATCTACTTGGACCGTCAAACTACCCATAACAATTGCGTATTGCCAACCAAAATTATATGGGCTGATTTACATTTCCATTTGCGTTGGGTACTTTGAGGATTTGGTTGGGTAGTAAGGTTGTACCCATTTGGTCGGATCATCTCATCGCTTCCGAGGATTTGCAGTGTTTGAAGCACCTCGAGCTTTGCTCCTGGACGCTCGGCCTGCAAAAAGTCAGGTCGGCAGATTTTTCGGAGTTCGGAGTTTGATGGGGCCGCAAGGTGTCGCCCAGGTGTGGTTTCAGCTGGCAAGCACCTTTTTTTGTTGTTGTTTCCAATCGGACAGCCAGCAAGCCCTTGGAGATGAATGATTTGTTTGTTTTTTTGTCCGTGTTTTTTGTTCAATCGGAAGGCCAGCAAGCCCTTGGAGATGAATGATGGGTGAAAATTGGAGGAGGTCCTGCAACGTGGGTGGGTTTCTGTGGGCGTCCCTTGCGCAAAGTCCCAAAAAAAGGGTGGCCTCAACAAAAGACGCGCTCAAATCGCAGAACCCCTGGGACCCCGCAAGAGGAGCACCGCTGATACATGGATTCACGAGCCAGACAGGGCCTTTAGCCGCCTCGAGGCTTCCCAACTTGAAGCACTATTCTTTACCACACAGGTTCCTCACCTGTGCAGGAGCTAAAATCTCATTGGCCATTTACGTAAGTGATAACTGATTTAATTATGATTATGGAAGGGCGTGAGGCTTGTAATTAGAAAACACACATGACCATATTACTGTAGCAGACCTCCGCTGGTCACATGCACCGACTTTGCGTCCAAACTCCAGCGCTTCCAGGCAAGTCAACACAGGTCGTTTAGGGAAACCGCCATTGAACAACACAGGGAAACGCATAATTGTGTACATATGAGCTAATTTTCCTGGCACCTCCAAACCCAGAGAGACAAGTTAAGTTCCAAGTCAAGCTGTTTAATTGGAAGTGGAGGTCAATCAGGTCCCAGTGGATGAATCCATCAGTGGAAGCCCCAATTTAAACCATCAGTGGCAACCCCAATTCAATCAGGTCCCAGTGGAAGCTGGCCGATCGTTGATCCACTTGAACCAGCACCCCGATGCCCCATGGGTCCAGACACGGACTCTTGCCCTCCAGCGAGCGAACCGAGCGAGCGACCGCAGGTTCTCCACGTTGACGCCGAAGGGGACGCGGGACATCTGCAGAGACGTCCAGCAAATCCGACGCCGCTCGGCCGGAAGTTCTGGAAGACGCCAGGGCGACGGTGGTTGAAACAGCCGCGCATTTGATTTGTTGGCAAAATGATGCTGGTTGGCTTGTTGGTTTTGTGTTGCAAGTGGCAAAAGCCGTTTTTTGTGTGACATGGCAGCTCCCCTTCAGTACTTGAGAACATCATGGGCAACAGCTTGACTGGGAAAGTGACGGCAGCTGGCTGACTGCCTGAACATTAGAGTTTCCACTTGTGGACGGTCCTTTGCATGAAACCATGGCCTGAGTCGAAAAAGGTTCCGTAACTATTACAATCAACAAGGCAACAATAACACACACCTGTGGCAGCAAGAGCTCGCTTGCGGGGTTTTTCCCTGCCGGCAGGACTCACCATTCCACAGGGGGAGAGCGGGGATTTGGGAGGGGTTTGGGGGGGGGGGGGTTCGGGGGCTGGACCACATATGCATGTACCCACATTTTACCTTTCGTCCCCTTCTGCCGGCGGACTCATTCCTGTTAGGCGGGAAAAAGGAAATGAACCCAGGCTTTGGTCCTCTTAAAGGAAACCACCAGAAAGGGATGGTTTTCTTAGGGGTCATTCCATGTCTCATTCCCTACCTATCGCACCGATCGCAAGCACAAATACAACTTGATGGCAGCAACTGTCAATCATTGACTACCTTTGTACAGCAAACTGACCTTTCAGCCGTATATATATATATACATGTATATTCATACATACATATATATATATATATACATAGAATTGTATATACATATATTCCATATCCCCACATGTTTTTCACCTTTTCTTCCCCCTGCCGGGACACTCGCAGAAGCTGAGGCGGCAACATCGAGCAGTGGCTGCTGTCCTACTTCTTCGACGGCGCCGAGTCCACCCAGGAGCTCTCCGACCGCGAGGCCCAGGAGCTCCAGGCGCGCGATCGGAACGCGAGCGGAGCGCGAGCGGATGGGTCGGGTCGGGTCTGAGGCCGCGGGGAGTCAAAGGACTTGGTTTTATTGTGTTTTTTTGGGGGTGGATTTGTGTTTGTGTGCAGAGGGTGGTGGCTTGGTGGCTTTTTTGGTTTGGTTGTTTGCTTGCTTGCTTGTTGGTTTGTTGGTTTGTTTGCTTGTGGTGAAAGTTGGGATTGGTTTGGTTTGCTTTGTCTCGGAATGCTTGAGTTTAACTGTCGTTGTTTTCATGATTTGTGTACTGCCTGGTGCAGCTTTGGTTGACCACTTTGCCAAAGTTTGGTGCCGTCGTTCGCTTAGCAGTTCAAGGCACCCTTAAATTCAGCGCCATGCACAGGCGCAGACTAACGGACGCGCTGGCCATGACAGTGCATGGGCTCACTGTCTCGTGCCACCAAGTGGTTTTTGGAGGCCACCCTTTTTGGCGTCGGTTTGCTTTGAAGCCAAGGGGAATCTACTCATTTTGGGGGTTCAGCTTTGTGCTAGAGGTCCGTCTCCCTATCATTGCTTCAACAAAGGAGAGCAAGTCCTTTCCCCGTGCCGATAGAGACCAACCAGCGCAAAGAGGCCCGTCCTCTTCGGCCTTCTGAAGAGGAAAAAACAGTTACATCAGGCAACCACTGGAAGCCAACATGAAAAAAGCCCAGCGCTCAAAGATACCGTGGAGTTGCTTATGGCAAGTGCAAGAGAAACCCACCGTGGAAGCCCAGCTACTATGAGTTACCATCAAGAGAAGCCATCATATGTGGTAGGTGTTTCCTTTTTCTTTGGAGGGTGAGTGTTTGGGTTGTTTGCAAGGGGAACCAAGGGGAATCCACTGTGTTTGGGAGAGCTTCGAGCTTCCCTCAAAAAGGACGAATCCGCGTGTAACTGGAAGAGCACGCGAGGAGAGATTGTTGACCCAACTCCGCAGGAGTTGGTGGATGCAGTGGCACGCTGGGCTGGCTTGCCATTGGATGGCGAGTGGGCCGGCAACAACGAAGGCCTGCCCGGCGGGGGGGGGGGGGGCGTCCTTGCCGTGTTTCCCGTTGTGTTTTTCTTTAAGGGAATCGTGTCAGGCATTTCTGTTAGGGATCCTTTGTAGGGGTGTATTATATAGTGCGCGTGCGTGTGTGCGTGTGTGTGTGTGTGTGGCTCGCTTTAAGATAGCGGAAACCATTCTGCTGTGTGTGGTTCCTTTGAAGTGAAGGACACCCTTTCTGACACGTGTGTAGTCTTCGTTTTGGTTTCAAGGGAAACCATTCTGGGGTGAGTGGTTCCTTGTTTGGTGTAAGAGGAATCCAGAAGTTGTGTTTCTGGGGTTCCTTTAAAGGAAAACTTGGAAACTCATGGGGAACCGGGCCTCATGGACTCATGTTCTGGGGTGTCCAGGCAACCCAAATGGTCTCACACCCTGCCCAGTGAACTCCACCCGTTGTTTCTTGGGCGGTTTTTTGAGCCAACACCAGGGTGTCTTTTTGCTTCCCACGGAAGTGCCCCAAGCTTCAGAGAATGCCAAGAATCTCTCTCGAAGTCCCTTTCTTTTCCATGGCCGGAAAACTCAGTTTTTCAGTGGCACCGATTCTTTTTCCTTTTTTTTGGTGGCTGCCCCACTAAAATGGTCTTCCCAAAAAAGGGTTCCCTTTTTTTTTCCAGGGTCACTGGACAACTGAGAAAAGGTGTTGTGCCCCCTTGGCTTCACTATACAACCTTGTAGGTGCCCCATGCAGGCGGGAAACCGCTTGCAGGGAACCAAACTAAGCCTGGCCTGAAGCATAGGTTCCTTTTATATAGGTGTCCACTTGGGACGGTTTGGCCTCGACCTGTTGCTTTCCTCTAGCCTAGATACACATGTTAAAACATGCTTTTCTCAAGCCCAAGAAGGTAACTCGTGTGCAAAATAAACAACATCCCAGCCTTTAATCAAATCTTGTTTCTGGCCCTCCTCGGAACAAGGCGTTACATCCAATCAAATTCCGTTCCTGGCTCTTTTCGGAACGCGTCAGCGTTGCCAACCTGCTTTCCGCTGTCCGAGTTTTCACTTTCTCCTTTCGGTGACTCCAACTTTGACCCCCGGACATGCTGCAAGGGAAAAACGTGGTCAGGGATTCCCTGTCGTTCCCCTTTTCGTGTAGACTACAAATACAAATCAGAACCTGTACATGTTTTTTCCAAGGTACCCTGGGTTGGGACCAAGTTTGGGTGGGTTCAAAGTTTAAACATGCATTTTCAGCAACGTTTATGGATTTGTGTATGGTCCTTTCGAGTCGGGTCATGAACTCACCAAAAACACCGTTCAAGTGCTCATTACGATGGTCCCACGTCAGCTAGGGAAGCACGTCAGTGGCGTTTTGACCAGACAACGTGCATCCTCCTGTGGCAAGGGCAAGTTTACTTGAGCTTCCTTTTTGGTGATGTCAAAAGACTGAGCAATGGGTGTGGGTCAAAAAAAGCTACCCAGAATGGATCCCTGGTAAATGGAAACATGGACTAAACCTGCGGTCCCCTGGTGGTTTAATTTTGACCCATACCCAAATGCGAAGCCCTGCAAGTATGACATGAATGTGTCTTCCACAGAATGCCTGGCTTCAGGCCTGAAGTGCTTTCGCATGCGCAACGACCCGCACCTTGGAGCGAACTCGGGCGTTGCGGGGCTCATATGTGCCTGCTCTCTTGTTGCTGTGTTTGGTGCGGGCAAGCATCTACTCAAAGGCACGGAAGGGGCGAGCCTACTTTTTTCCAAAGGGAAGCAGCAGGGTAGCACCATGTAGTCAGAGGATTCACGCTACTGAGCGCACGAGCCTGTGCCCTCTCGAAGAGTTAGAGATGTTGGCCCCAACGCATGTCTTCCAACATATATTTCTGCATCAGCGTTTTGTGCAAAATTTCGACGCGGACGAAAACCAGAGTTTGGGAGATGGCTGTGGCTCAAAAAACCGGTACCAAAATGGGTTGCCCTGGTAAGCGGAAACATGGGCCAAAACCTGCGGTTTGCCCCTCCTGTTTAATTTTGAGCCACACCCAGATGTGTTGACTCGGCCGGTGAAGAACTTTTGGGCTTGAAGCCAATGTGTACAAGCGCCATTGTTCCGCAGAAGCAGGAAGTTCGAAGCCGGGACTTGATCTAGGAAGCGTATGCGGTTTTTCAAGAATGAGATGGGTTTGCTATGTTTGCTTAATCTAAGAATAAATGTTGTTTTGTTTTTTTGTCTATGTTATTTTGTTTCTTAGATCTTAGGTTTGCCATCTTTTGCTTGTTTGGCAGCTGCTGTAGATCGAGTTTTATTTGGAAGCTTGATTTGAGACTGTTCAAGAGAGAGCCTGGGAGGTAGGGAGGGACTGGCAATGACTTTTGCACTTCCAACATCCCCCTGTGAGGCTGCGTCATTTTTTCGGCCACCCCCCCTCCAAAAAACAAACAATGGCCCCCCTTGGTGTAGGTGCCATAGGTGCCATGTTTGTTGAAGAGAGATGCCATGTCGGTTTGAGCTGAAGCCGGGAGCCGAAGCCAAAAGTCGTCGATCTTAGGTTCCCGGCGGTGCACCGACCCCTCCTCTCCTACGTGAACACCGCCTTCGTGGCCCCGACCATCGGGCACCAGGTGCACGGGTTTGAAACGGCGACGGCGTCGACGGGGCGCCTGACTGCTTGGGGGTGGGGAGCAAAGAGTTGGGCACCGGGGCTGTCCTTTAAATTTTGGTCTGTGTTTAATATGTTTCTTCCCTTGTGGGCTGGGGAAACCGGTTTTGTTGTCGTTCCATCGACTTTTTGGATCGTTCCATCGACTTTTTGGAGGGGGTTGCACTTTGACTATGTGTCTTTCGGGTTCGTCGGAAGCGTCCAGCTTCGTGGCTTTGCCCGTTTTACTCTAGGGCTTTGGGTCAAAACCCGGAATATCTAGACAGAAGCACCTTGCAATCTGCTTGATGCCTTTTGACCTGCTGTGCGGTGAATGGTTTTCCCCAACAACTCGCAACACGTGGACCACTAATTGCAGAGGTCAGTGGACTGAAGGGCCCCGCTGCCTGTATCGAGACTGGAAGCGGAACCGATTGAGCGCCCCGTGCAAGACATAGGGACATAGGCGAGCGGTTCACCGACAAATGAATTGGGTAGGCGTTTGGGGTCTCAGAAAAAAAATATATGAGGTTTTCACGTGGACTAAATGGGGCCGGGGGGGGGGGGGGGTGTTTGGGGGCACCATTTGGGGGTGGTGTGAAATCAATCCGAAAGGAACCAATTTTTGGGGGTCCCTGTATCTTGCCGCACCCAACTAAGGACCAGGGTGCCATTGTTCTTGGCATCGTGGGAGGGACGAAGGCTACCGTAGCACTCGCCGAAAATAACGTAGCATCGCTTTGCACTCAAAGGAACCAGTAAGTCCGCAAGTGATTGTCACTCCACCTTTGTTCACCAAAATCTCAGTTGGACAATGATATATAAACCGAGTGTCTTCAATGTCATTAGCCTATGTGTTTCGTGTGTGTGTGTGTTTGCGTATGGCCTGTTTCTTGTTGTTGGGGTGTTTTTTTACGGTCTCAGAGTCTCAGCTTTCTTTGCAATTTACGGACCCACCCTCCACACTGCCGTTGACCCCTATACGTGCTGACAGTTTTGCAAGGTTTCCTTTTTGTCCCTTACGCAGGAGGAAGGTTCCTTTAGGTTGCTTTATGTTTAATCTAGGGTCCTCAGTTTCATTTTCTGCCAACAAGTTGATCACTGGACAAGGGTCCTGGACCCCTCGTTTGACTTCGCTTCGTTTAGTTTCGGATGGATTTTGGTATTCAAAATGGGGGGCCCCTAAAACTTGCGGGTTTTCATTTTGATCTTCCTCCCGTCAGGGAACTAAGGCCCCCCCCCCTTGAAAAAACAGCCGCCTAAGGGTGCCCTCAAATGGGTATGGGTCAAATTATACCAGGGGACCGCAGGTTTTGGTCCTTTTTTCCTTTTCCGGGGTTCCGTTTTGGGTACCTATTTTTGACCCACACCCAAATAAACATGCCCATATCCAGGCGCTGACGATGCTGGGGTTCCGGCCTTATCGCTCCGGCAGCACGGAGCCCCTCGGCGAAACCGCTGAAGCCTTCCCTCGGCCGGGTGCTGTCGACTAAATCTACTGAAGTAGACTTAGGATACATTTGACATTTTACCAGTGACTCAAAGTGAAGCAACCAATAAAATATACATTCTACAACTGGGTCTAACTCTAATCATGTCTAAGGGGTACTTCTCATCCTAGGCGGTTTTGTATTTGTTTCTCATCCTGAGAGATTCTGATGTCATGCTTAGGGAACCTTCTCGCATGAAACCAACGTCCCGGTGCAGTGATTGAGCCCTTTGAGTCGAGTTGCCTACTTGATGTCTGTTTTGAGCCCAGCCCCCCTAGCAACAAAAAATGTCCTTCTGATTTGTTCGGACTGTGGGAAAGAGAGGCATCCCGAAGCAGGGGACTCACAAGGAAAGCTCAGTCAAACTCGAGGACCCCTGCCTTGGTCCAATGGTCAAGGCCGCTACTGGACCATGCCCCTAGAAACACTCGACCAGGGGCCTCCCCTGAACTCCTCTCTGACCTGGGTTGACTCGAAACTTTGACTCTTGCACTCTGGGCTCTCGACGTACCCCACCAGCGAACATGGAAGTGCACAGACCCCTGCAGAAAGGCTACCTTCCTCTTGGTGAGTTGGCCTTGTTGCACAGACCCATGTTAGTTAGTGGGAGGGTCAAGGAAGAAGCCTGGCAACAAAGAGTTTACCCGCCTGGCCACTGACATGGATCCCACAGCAGGGTCCCTTCTCAAAGGAAAATCGGTCGCATGCTTCTTCCGTTCTGCCTCAACAGGGGCACCCCGAACTGGTTGAGTTGCTTTAGGTTGGAAACAACCCCCCAAGCCGGTCGACCTCGAAAGCCACACCCTTTTGGGACTGCTTCGCTTCCTTGTGCTCCGTTAGGTACTGGTTCCGGCCCCCGAACCCCGCAGAGCACTGGCAGCACGGACTGCGGCCCCGCCTGGTGCCGCCCAGCTTAGTGTTTTGGGCGATTGGTGGGTTTTCAGTACGCAGGGAAACCGGCAGAAGACAGACCCTTCAAGTTGTTGTTTGTTTCTTCTTGATGTGTTTTATGTCGGAGCAGGAAAATTAAGATTGTTGGTTCTTGTCTTTCTGTCGGAGTTGGAGACGCTTGTTGCCGCGCAACTGTGTGTGTGTGTGTGTCTGTGGTTTGGTGCTCTGTGTTTGTCTAGGTACTTGTGAATTGAATCGAAATCATTTAAGAGGGTATCCGTTTGAAAGCAGCTGGCACCTCATTCTGAAAGAGCGTGTCCTCATGGCCGCCGGGGCAAGCAAGATTCAAAGCACCTTGCCGAGCTCCATGCTTCATGTCTACATGCTGGTTCATGGAGACGGTGTGTCGCCTTTCGAGGCTACCCTTTTCGGGGCTATCCTTTTCGAGGGAGACTCAAGGGGAAACGGAAGCTTACAACCATATGGAAACCACCCGCGGTTAATTGTCTAAAACACATGCGGACCTCACAAGGGTTTGTTACACGACCTCCGGCATGAAGGTTTCTTGCTCAGGGTTTCCTTGCATCAGGTGTGTGACTTATAGTACTTGGCACTGATCGTCTAGTTTTAGCGCAGATGATGTGATATGGGATATG